GATAGATGAATCGATCGATCGATGGATGGGTGGCTGGATGGGTAAGTGGTTGGATAGATGAATCGATCAATCGATGGATGGGTGGCTGGATGGATGTGGTTGGATAGATGAATTGATCGATCGATGGATTGGTGGCTGGATGGATAAGTGGTTGAATGGATGAATCGATCCATCGTTGGATGAGTTTATGGTTGGCTGGATGGATGGAAAACTGGTTGGCTGGTTGGGTCAAGAATACAATAATTGGATAAACATTTTTATTTGAATGGGTGAAAGGTTGGTTGCCTGGATAAACGGATGGTTGGTTGCCTGGATGGTGGGCAGGATGGATGGATGGATAAATTGTTGGATCAATGGATGGTTGCTTGTTGCGTGGATGGATGGATGGACGGACGTATATTTGCAAGGATGGTTGTTTGGTTGGATGGATAGTTGGTTGTCCTAATGGATGGATGACTGGATTGTTGGTTGGATGGATGAATAGATGCAAGGGTGGTACTTCGGGTGCTTTTTATGATTTTTGTTGATGGATTAGAATATTTGTTAGTTAGCTGGACTGCTTGCTGACACGACTAAATTAGAAGACTCATTATTTATAATACGATTTGAGGCGTACAGCATTTTTATTATTGACATTGTTTTTACTGCGCCTTTAATTTGTTTCAGCTGCATACTTAGATACGCCGGTTCTTTCGTAATAAGTCACCCCAGATGACATCACAGGGACAGTCCAGTATTTTATAGGGTGGTAAGACCAGGCGTCCCGACATTGTGGTGCTCTTAACTACCTCAAAAAATTTAGAACTGGACCTAACCCATCTTCGTTCCACGAGAGTGCAGCCTAGGTCCCACGACTGCATGCAGCCTATCTACCAACCCCCCCCCCCCCTGAAATAATGGACTGTGTTTGGGGTGATTTATTACGAAAGCACCGATATGCCTTTTAATTATATCTACATTAAATTTTGGTACAGTAATGATTTAAACTTACAGGAAAAAAAAACTGTATATGCTGTTGAAAGAACATATAGAGAATTAAAACGTGAAAGAAAAGTTTAAAAATTGTGAGATTAAAATACTGTGCTTGCCCCACTAATATTGGAAAGAAAGAAAAAACGACACGACAAAATGTGCATTTTTCAGGGAAATTGGAAGAAAACACACACAAAATTGTGTTAACATTTCCAAAAAAGTTAACACTATACGATGATGGGTAGCCACTGTTACACCAAAAAGTTAAGACATTTCACAAAAAAAACGGGAAAACGAATGACTGCCATCACAAATAAACAGTTAAAAGTACACGGACAATTGGGTTAAAAGTACACAAAAAGAGTAATTTTTTTTTTTTTTAAATGGCATCCTATTACCCACAGTTAAGTTCATTGTAGGTCAAAACTGACAAACAGAAGTTACAATTGCACGAAAATGAATGTATGTGTAATTTTAACACACACCAACAGTTAAAAGTACACGAAAAGATTTTTTAAATAAAATGTGACATGCTAACACCCACAAACAGTTAAGTTCCTGTATGTCACAAGTGAGACACAGAAATTAAAATACATAAAAATGAATGTATGTGCCATTCGATCAGACACCAGTTAAAATTACTCGAACAATTGGAAATAGAAGTGAAAACGACTTTAAAAGAAAAGTGGCATCTCAAATCCCACATAGGGCTTGGCGTAGCGACGAGACACTCGCATGTAGATGCGAATTTCGTGGGTTCAAATCCGAAAGGAGACAGAATTGTGTTTTTTAAACATGACCTTGGCTCCAAGGTCGACTTAGCCCTGAATAGGTACTATCGTAAAATCCTGGGAAGTGAAGACGGCCGACGTGATGTTGACCACACCACACATCCAGGGTGAATGATCTACAAAATATAGGTCTAATACTCATCACTATTATGTAGCAGGTCTTTTGGAGAACGTCGCTCTCATCACGGTTTGCCTGAAAGAAACTTGGTCTTTCGCCAACTTTTCCACTTCGTGTACTTTATTTTCAAAGAGTCACTTATATCCTGTGCCCATCTTTGTGTTGGTCAATCCCTGCCCCTCCTTTCTGGTACCAAGTCTACTGCTATTCTATTTTCCAATTCGCTATGGCGCTTGATATGAGCAAAATAGTTCAGCTTCCGAGACAAGATGATGTTTATTAGCCAATCTTCCTTGATGATCAGACCTTTCAAAATGTCAGTATTTCTTCTCTTCTTTATCCGTGGTATTCTGAAAATCTTTGTAAAGTATTTCAGCTCAAAAGCCCGTATCTTCTTCCCTAAGGACTGGGAGATAATTCATGACCCACATTCGTATGTTGCTACAGTGAAGAAACATACTCTTACAATTTGAATTTTGATCTCCTTGCTGTTGCTTAACCATATACGTTTAATGCTGTTTAATCTTTGCATTGCTACGGCCATCCTCCTTTTGATTTCTGTCAAACAGCTATTTATTGTATAGCATAGATGATCAAAGTTTGTAACATTTTCAATTTCTCAACGATTTATTGTTATTTTTATGTGACAACTAGTTTTGTCTGTGAACTTTATTTTCGTTTTCTTCAAGTTCGAGAATAGTTTTCGATCTTCCCTGTGCTTTTGGACATGATTACATTTAAGATTTTACTTTATCACCAGGTAACAGTTCAAACAAAAATTAAACGGAAAAAGACGGACAATATGCAGTCACAATGAAAGTCAAAGAAAAGAAAAAAAATTCCACGATAATTATAACAATCTGATATAAGTTCTAAAAAAGTTAAAATACCACATTAAATTTGACAATCAGATAAAACTACATTCAATATAATATAAGGAAAGTGTACGTGACGTTTGTAAGAAAAGTTAAAATTCATAAACATTTTTTATGTTTATCTAACAGTTAACAATACAAGAATAATATGAACATCTTTCCTTGTGAAATCTCAAAGTGAACAATGGTACACGTGTGTCCTCTGTAATACACCCAAATGTGTAGTCAGTTGCCTATCCTTTTCAGGACGTTGCAGAACCGACCCCAGCACTGTTTTGCTGCTGTTGCTTTTCTAGACAAATTGTATGTTTAGTAGTTTGCCACTACATACTGAACCGTCAACTCGCAGTACTCGAAACTAACGCAAGACAAATCGTCCCTAGCTGGGATCGAACCCAGCACCCCGGCATTACTAGGCTCGTTTGCAACGCCTAAGCCACAGACGCCGACGAGAACAAAAATAGTTTTTCTAAGTAAAACTATTACAAAATGTATTTCTTCTAGAATGTAAATGTATAGGCACAATTAATGTTTTGGATCATTTGTTAGTTAGTTAGTCGTTACGGTTCTGGCATTACAGCAGACAGCTTGGCCCATAATTGCTCAATCGCCTATGCCAGTGATTTCAGTCATGAACTTAGATACGCGGGATACTTCAAGTGAATGCCGTAGCCAAACAAAGTGTCCTCAGTCAGCAAAACACAGACGGACTGATCTGGCAAACCATAAGGTGCATGTCTCTTTAAACACACTGCGGGACCAGGCGTCATCGCTGACAATCAACTTCATTCGACGAACAGCTGGGCGATTAGTAGAATAAAATTATTCCTGACCATTCTGCACATGTCCTCGACAAAGTTGCAGCCACGCCCATCAAACAAATAGCAGCTGTAGCACACGCCTTGTCCCGTTAACACAACGAATAAAAATACATCACCCATCATTGCCATTATGTTTGAATCTTCAACTCAGTCAATAACTGATAATCACAGCTCATAGTGCCACCCGGAGCACTGGCTGCGGCTGCAAGCCGAACTTCCACAATCTTGCAACATCGAACCTGGAGGAGAATCGGCAACGAGAACAGTCAACATAAGCCAAGTTCTCAACCGTCATCCATTCTCCATCAATGTCGGAACCGGAAGTTTTGGAGCACGCTACCTCCCTGTGTGTGTTTCATGTTCCAGTGCAAGTGGGCGGAGGTGGAGGGGTAGGAGGAAATATAACCCTCCCCTTCCCCAAAAATTATGTCGCACTAGGTAACTTTTTGATGTGCTTTCTAAATCGGATGAAATCAGCAGATATCGCAGCCTGGTTGTAAACAACCGAAACTAGAAGGACGAAAGCAGAAGAATAAGCAAAACACTTATCGAGCATGCGAACAATTGGTATTTTCAAAGATTTCACCAAGACCGTCTGTGGCTTAGATGGTGTGAAAAACGACTCATAATTCTAACATAGCTGGTTCGATTCGTCTGTAGGCGAATTAGCAACAGACAGTTTTGGGGTAATTTCAACAATAATCTGAGCAGCGACGATGCAGGAAGCAATGGCAAATTACTGATAGTAAAACCCCAAACAACCGATACAAAATCTGAATCAGTTTGTGAGAATCAGGTCAATTGTCACTTATAGTTTCATTTATTTACTACACACCGAAAAAAAAACGATTACTAACACTAGCCGAGGCGTTACCAATAAAAATGAACTGTACTTTTTTTAAACACGAACAAAAGATCACGTGATAGATTTGAAGTTATCATGGTAACCATGTAGCTGATCTTGAATTTGTTTCAGACTAAGCTGACAATGTCATATTTTAGTGAAAAGGATTCATTTTTAATATTCACGACATGTTGTTTTGAATCTGCAGTAACGCACATGACGAGATACAGCGAAATATGACAGGAAATAAATTGTGCAGTGTATTGTTTATATCCGCATAATTATAGTTCAAAACGGGAGAAAAACAATTTTTTAATTTACGATGTATGTGATTATTTACTGCCGTTTTTGGATACTCCCACATTAGGAGAAGAACGATTTATTATACTGTTTAATGTATTTTGTGATGAATTATCTGATATATAATTTATCACCCACAAAGTGTTAACAGATTGTCTAAGAGATCAATAACTGATGGTTTACTAGAAGATTCCCTAAAACTAAAACTAGTACAATGTTCACTTCTTTTAGAAAGTAATGCTAACTTTAATACAACCACGTGACTACAAATACACTTACGTCACTTGTCCCGGAACCAAAAAGCAAGAGGTCAAAAGGGATGGCAGCAATGGCGTCAATAACAAACCAGCCTTTGACATAATTGACAGCGATCTTCTGCTGATCGCTGACTACTTCGCCGTTCTCCACATACGTGGTCCGGAAGTTGATCAATATGTCAGCAATAAACATGAGATCTACCATCAAGTCGACAATGACCAGTGGGTCAATGCGAATGGTGTCTGCGTTTGTATTTCTGGAAATATGCCACATAATAGATTAATCTATAATTAGAAACAAAATAGACAAACAACACTAAAATCAGACATTCGAGTCAATAAAGAATATAAATGTTAATGTATTGGTTATCTGCCTAGAATGTCCTCGTGCAACTTTTTTTAAGTAATTCACACATACAAGAACTTATTTTATTAAATTCAGACCAAAAAATTATAATTAAAAAAAAAAAACAATGAATAAAATGAGTCGTATCAACAAAACTCCGAAATGTTTCGGCCATCTGACAAAAATGCCGAGTGTACTAACAGATTAGAAGAAGATTAGCCACCCAAGAGAGTTACGTTGAAAACACCAAGAAGTGACATCACAACACTTGAATTCCCGTTCGTGCTCCGTCCTCATCTTCAGCAGCCAGCGCAGAGTTCCAATACTGATGCTACTGGTCACAATCTGGTTATATGTCCGGCTTGCCTTTCCTCAGAGTCTAGTGAGCCGGCCAGACCCTTTGGTTACAGCCAGGTGCCTCATTCTCTCCAGACCATAATAATCTTGTTTCTCTACTGATTCCATTGCCTGTTCCCAAAGGGCCTTGACCACATCTGCCTTATCAATATGTCTGCCTGTTCATTACCTACCACGCTGGCATAGCCTGGGGAAAAGATCCAAAGTATGCTCACTACCCGTGTCTTTCCCAGTTAGTACGAAATGAGTACAAAGCAATGAGAAGTAGTTACAAAAAGCATACGAAGTGGGTTTTTCCGAGTAATAAATATCTTGCTTTAAACATCGGAAAACGAGTACTGAAATGGTATATGGAGAATCCACTGCTGTATAGCAGTGAGTTTTGGAATGTGATCAAACAAATTAGGAGAAGTTTGAAGGCAACTGAGATGTGGTTCTTGAGAAGAATTTTGCCAATACCTTGGACTGTTAGAATAACTAATAATGATTGCCTGGAAACGTCTAATGAAAGTAGAACATTATATACAACAACGAGAAGGCAACAAATCCAATTCTGTAGTCACGTGATGAGAAAAAAAGAGCACTGAAAATATTGTGACGACTGGAAAGATCACTGGTAGAAAAGATAGAGTCGGACCAAGAGAAGTTATGGTGGACGGTTAAAGACAGTGGCATGGAGGAATATCATCAGAGGAGTTGAACACCAAAGCCCGAGATCTGTGGAGATACATGAACGCCTATGCCAGCTGACAAGGCACTTGATGATGACGTGTAATGTATCGTTTTCCTTGACGGAAGCAAAGAAGACGATTTGATATATGTCAGGATTACATATCTGTATTGACCTTAGGCCATTTAAGAGCTGACGGAAATGGAACAGAAACTTTAACTTTAAAAGAAAACATTGGTTTTGATGTTTTGAACAAGGGATTAGCGTCATGGCACACGAGTAGTAACCCATGAGGGCTCGGTCCTTCTTCTTACTCAAGTCTAGTCTGAAGAAGCACCGGCGAAGATCCTGAAATACTTTGGGTAGATTTTTAACTCCTGATTGTGCCCAGCCAGCGCCGTTAGGCTACTCTTTTCGATTTCCAACTGCCAAAGGATTTTTCACGTGTGCAACAATGCACACGGGCGTCCTATCTCACTACGCAGAGACCAGGAGAAATTACTAGAAGTCCAACAGCACGTAAAAAAATCCAAGCCCTTACCGGGGATTGAAACCGGTACCTCTAGCACCCAAAGCGTACACTATGCCTCGAGACCACACAGCCCCCTTAAAAAATAAAAATAAACCCCTTTAAGTATATGTCATATAATTTACTTTAACAGATTGCGGAAAAGGAAAATATGGAGAATTATATTCAGAATGCCTTCGTATATATACATATATAAGTAGCCATACATTACTGATTTTTGTTGTTCTTGTTTTCTTTAGGAACTTCCCTTTTTCGTTCAAACAACAAAACAAACCCCAAAAAACGTCATACATGTCTAAAAGTTACATATGTATGCTTTTGTATGTATGAGTTAACAGAAACAGACAAGTTAACCTGAAAGTCTAAAAGTACATAAATCAATGCGTTACTCGACATTGCGAAACGTAAAAAGGTTGTAACAACGTAAACAGACGTAAAACCAAGAAAAGCAAATAAAACCGGAAGCTACCTTTCAGGTAGCCTTAGCAATGGACAATAACAACTTAAGAATGTTTATCTTTTACTACTTTAGATTTAACAGCTTATAATTGACGGACAGAAGTGTGGCCATCTGAATGTATAGTGGTTGGAAGTATAATCTTAAACAGGCATAAGTTTTGTCTGGGTGGTTCGCTGCTGTGTTCTGCTGTCGGTATTTGCGAACATGCTGCACGTTCTACAGGATTTTCCTTACTGTAGGGAGAAAGTACAAGCCAAAAGAGTCAACACCAGCCACACCAGTCACACAGTTGCATGAACGTGGAGCAGAACTCATAAAATAGTCAAGTGATTAGACATGAAAATTCCTCGGTTGCACAAGAAGCAAGGGAGGAGGAGGACGAAGCAGCAGCAGCAGCAGCAGCAGCAGCAGCAGCAGCAGCAGAAGAAGAAGAAGAAGAAGAAAAAGAAGAAGAAGAAGAAGAAGAAGAAGAAGAAGAAGAAGAAGAAGAAGAAGAAGAAGAAGAAGAAGAAAAGAAAAAGAAGAAGAAGAAAGAAGAAGAATCGAGGTGTACCTGGATCCAGGCGCCATGTTGAGCTTCATTCTGATCTCGTCCTCCTTCAGAAGAAAGGCGGCAGCGTACGGGGTAAACACGGCCGTGTAGAGAACCAGCAGCAGGATCACCCAATCCCAGACTGCCTGTCATGGGAACAGCACCGGTTTAGAGGTAATATGAGAACAACACAGGTATACAGGCAATATGAGAACAGCACCGGTACACAGGTAATATCACATACACACAAACAGGGCGGTTGGCTAAGGGATGGCTGTAAAATTGACTTCCTGCAGGCCTCTCGTCTTTCTGACCTTAAGATAATGAACTCCGTCCATCCCTTCGTCCATCAGTTCGTCCATCCCTTCGTCCATCCCTTCGCCCCCCCCACCCCCCCCGTCCGTCTGTCCATCCCTTCGTCCGTCGCTCCGTACGGCTGTATGTCTGCTGTTTTTCGGTCTAACAAAACACTTATTACAGTTGTTCAAGCGACTTAGCATATTTGTTCATGCAGAGAGGAGCTGTAGTCATTTAGATTCAAGAAAGATTCAAGACCGCCACGGCTAAATATAGCCTTCGATTTTCGCGTTGTCTAGTGTGTTCTTATATCTTTCTACTTCTCTCTTTGAGAGCTGATCAATACTATTTGTTTATTAAATGAACAATATGAAGCACATTGATCCTGGCATGGTGAGGGTTAATAGACTTCCTCTTCTTCTTCGCGTTCACTAGCTGTGAACTCCGGTGGAAAGTTCTGGTTGTTCGTCCACTTCTGGACTGCAGTCCTGTTCCAGAACCTGTTGCGTGTGCATCCGTTTGACAGATCTGTATGCAGACTGTTGGTTCCTTGCCTCTCAGGCAGATGCACTCCGACTTCGAAAGAAGCTCCCAATTAGTCGACTCTTACGACATGCTTTTGGGTAGGCGTGGGTCTATTCTTGTTTTTCCCATAGTGGGGCCCCGGAACCCAAACGGGGGTTGGTTAATAGACTGAAATGGGTTGGACGTGTTGAAAGAATATCAGATATAGAAGTAAAAACTGCAAACAAGTGAACTGAATGGTCATAGACCAAGAGGTAGATTAAGAAGACGATTTAGAGATAATATCCACACAGACCTAAAAATACTTGTGTCACCAACTGGAAAGAACATGCCAAACAGAAAGATAAGTGGAAGCGGGAGATATCTGCAGCAACGAACCGCAAGGGCTCGGAATGCTAAAGAAGAAGAGAAAGAAATTTAGTACATTTTCCACTCCCTATGACGTTTTTTTAAAATGTGCACAACTTCTGGTGACGTGTTCCAGTGCACAGTAATTTTCCTATAATTTCAATAAATTTATCTTTCACCCATTAAAATAATTATATTCTTCTTCCCATTTCCCAGTTTTTATTTTCTCCACAGAACGCCTGTTCGATTCACGTATCTGTGAAGTTTTGTTTTGAGTTTTTGTGACAAATTTTCTAACGTGATTTTCTATCATTATCAGCTCTTAAGTATAATTTCCTTGTCCTATGTAGCGTTGCTGTTATATCTCTGCCTGCCTCTGTTTCTATTCTGGTCGATTTGATAGTCTGAACTTCAGATTTATGTTGCCTGTAGGAGTGCCGTAATAAAGGAAACACAGGGGCACTTCGCCCCTTAAATGTATGCATGTATGTATATATATATATCTGTGTGTGTGTGTGTGCTCGCCTGCGGATCGGTAGGTTGTGGGTTCCCTCTCTTTGGCTCCCAGGTAGACCCAGCCTTGAGTGGGGACCGGGTGCGGTCCCGGGAAGTAAAGGCGGCTGCGTGACGCTGACCACATCAACCATCTTTTGCCAGTTGGTCTATAAAACTATACGTCTAGCCCTATATTCCCTATACGCCTAATGACGTGCAAAAGGGTCTTTTACTTATGTATATAAAACGAGTAAAATCGCACGCTATACTTGTGAAAGTCTTTTCTAAGCGCGAGCATTCGGGACATAATAATACTAATGATAATAAACATAATTAATCACTGCAAAATCATGCATTTTCATATTGTGACACATTTTTCGCAGTCTTTTCCTCCATTCCGTTCACTGCAAGCACACAAACACACACACACACACACACACACACACACACACATACATGCATACATACATACACATATATATATATATATATATATATATATATATATATATATATATATATATATATATATATTCAGTGTGTTTGCTCTTGGGTCGTGCATTCAGTCGTTTATTCGGTCTTCCATTCGGTCGTTCTTTCGGTCCGTTCATCCGCCTGTCTGTCTGTCTGCCTGCCTTCCCGTCCGTCCGTCCGTCCGTACGTCCCTCCGTACGGCTGTATGTCTGCTGTTTTTCGGTCTAACAAAACACTTATTACAGTTGTTCAAGCGACTTAGCATATTTGTTCATGCAGAGAGGAGCTGTAGTCATTTAGATTCAAGAAAGATTCAAGACCGCCACGGCTAAATATAGCCTTCGATTTTCGCGTTGTCTAGTGTGTTCTTATATCTTTCTACTTCTCTCTTTGAGAGCTGATCAATACTATGTGTTTATTAAATGAACAATATGAAGCACATTGATCCTGGCATGGTGAGGGTTAATAGACTTCCTCTTCTTCTTCGCGTTCACTAGCTGTGAACTCCGGTGGAAAGTTCTGGTTATTCGTCCACTTCTGGACTGCAGTCCTGTTCCAGAACCTGTTGCGTGTGCATCCGTTTGACAGATCTGTATGCAGACTGTTGGTTCCTTGCCTCTCAGGCAGATGCACTCCGACTTCGAAAGAAGCTCCCAATTAGTCGACTCTTACGACATGCTTTTGGGTAGGCGTGGGTCTATTCTTGTTTTTCCCATAGTGGGGCCCCGGAACCCAAACGGGGGTTGGTTAATAGACTGAAATGGGTTGGACGTGTTGAAAGAATATCAGATATAGAAGTAAAAACTGCAAACAAGTGAACTGAATGGTCATAGACCAAGAGGTAGATTAAGAAGACGATTTAGAGATAATATCCACACAGACCTAAAAATACTTGTGTCACCAACTGGAAAGAACATGCCAAACAGAAAGGTAAGTGGAAGCGGGAGATATCTGCAGCAACGAACCGCATGGGCTCGGAATGCTAAAGAAGAAGAGAAAGAAATTTAGTACATTTTCCACTCCCTATGACGTTTTTTTAAAATGTGCACAACTTCTGGTGACGTGTTCCAGTGCACAGTAATTTTCCTATAATTTCAATAAATTTATCTTTCACCCATTAAAATAATTATATTCTTCTTCCCATTTCCCAGTTTTTATTTTCTCCACAGAACGCCTGTTCGATTCACGTATCTGTGAAGTTTTGTTTTGAGTTTTTGTGACAAATTTTTCTAACGTGATTTTCTAAAGTCTTTCTAAACGGACTTCGGACAAATAAAACTAATGATAAAAAACAATAAAATAAACTCACAGGAGCAAGTAAGCGGGGATCTACATCATCAGTAAAATTTTCCTCTTTTGACAACCTTTTTTGGCCCCACGTTTCCCAAAAGTATTCGGGGGTGGGCCCACCTGGTTCAGAAGCCAGGGTGCTTCCCGCCGCACAGATTACGGGTGGTGTTTAACTTTTGGCCCAAGACAAGACACTTGGGGGTTTTGAAGGGGGTACGGGAAAAGCCGCCACGGCAGGTAATTTGGCAGTCCCCTGCCCGGGCGACCGAGCGAAACTTTCTTTTGGTTTCCGGGCACATCTTGGACTTTTATTAGCATTTTTGGGAGAGAACACTGGCAGACAATTCGTCACGATGGGTTTTCAAAGGATAAAAAACCTTTTCCCTAGATTTCCCGGACCCAAATCCCGAGGGCCTCCCTACGTTGTTGCGTTGCGTCCAAACCACTAAGGGGG